AATTATCTATCTCTTCAATCTATCTATATCTCTTCTATTTATCTGCTTATCGCTGGCTTTCTTTGCCAGGCTTATATACTAAAAAAAAAGGGCGACTAACAAACACTGGGACATTCGCGAGGTTCCTCGATAAGTCATGATCCTTCTAGAGACTCCAGCGCGCATGCTCCCACCATCGCGTGACTTCCGCTGTCGTAGCAATATCATTTAATCAAAGCATTCAGAAAAGTCATCTTATGTATAATAGCTCATTGCCTTTTTTTATATATATAAATAGCACTGATACATAAGTTCATTTAACTTGGTTACTGGCAAATCCATCATAGGGCAAGCTGAAAGACAAGATAATCATAAGGACCCGTGAGTGAAAGCAAAGGGGAATATGTTATAATATGTCGATCACACTTCATTTACTATAATCCAGTGCCGATGAGGCCTTTCCATTAATATCGGGCTGATCAGGCCTGCAGGGAATCGAAATACATAGTATTGGTGTAGGAAGTGCCGGCTCAACTTCAAAAATTGAAGAGTGCTAAGATAGAAAATAGCGCCTTTTTCAAATTTTGATATTTTTATTTATTTTTCTGTACTTTACAAACTTTCAAATAATTTGTTTAAAAATTCATAATACAGAGTGCAAAAATGGTACATGATAAAAATATACATATGAAAAAATAAAGATTAGTCTTTAGAAAATGAAACTTTACGAACTCTTAACTGCCATAACTTTCCTTAATTAATTTCTCTGGTCATTTCATTTTCTGTATAAATTATTGTTAGACCATTTAATCTCTCTTTGTGGAAGGAAAAATGTTTTTATTAACTTTAGTCTCGAAAACGATATTTAGCTACATTAACGGGCAAATTTGATAAAATTCTTAGAGCAATGAACGTATTTAGTTTGTTTTAAACTTCGCGCAAACCTACACGAGGGCTATCTGCGCTAGCCGTCCCTAATTTAGCAGTGTAAGACTAGAGGGAAGGCAGCTAGTCATCACCACCCACCGCCAACTCTTGGACTATTCTTTTACCAACGAATAGTGGGATTGATCGTCACATTATAACGCCCCCACGACTGAAAGTGCGAGCATGTTTGGTGTGACGGGATTCGAACCCGCGATCCTCAGAATGTGAGTCGAGCGCCCTAGCCACCTGGCGATGCCGGGCCGAACGTATATGGAAACATTTCTTTAATGCGGTTTTCACATATATAAAATAAGGCCATAACTGGAGTTGAATTTTTCGATGTGATATTAATTTCAGTTGTGTACACAGACTTTCTCTCCAAATACCCCTTTCTCTTTACTTACTAGTATTTTTTCCAAATTTTGACAATTCTTGCGCCCCTAAAATTCTGCAGTGGGTTCTTAGCCCTTGGAACTCCCTTGAGCCGGTCGTGGGTCTAGGAGCTATATATATTATATCACCAATTTTCATGAAGAACAACTGTTAAGGTGTGAATCAGATTAAGCAAGCGAATTGTGATTATTGTAAATGTTATTTACGGTTATTTTTTGAGCCGTTTTACGTAACTCGATCACACAAGGCTGACCTCTTGATCCCCGGCCTCACTTGGTCACACCTCTCTCTTCTGAAAAATCTACACCCGCCAGTGTTAATTGTAATAAGTGATTAACTATGTTTTTGGCAATTCCAGTCACCCCCTTTTATTTTGCTGTTTTTATCTGCAGTACTGTTAAGTGTTAACTGCTGGTGTACGGTGACTGATATGTTCTCAATTTATCTTTCATTCACGTGCCCCCAATGGCAGAGCAGTATGTGTGTGTGGGCTTACAAAGATAGAATCCGGGTTTCGATACCCGTGGTGGGCAGAGCTCAGAAAGCGCATTGTGTTTATTCACAATTTAAACCATTTTTGAAATTTTCAATTTGTAATTCAGATTCACTTCGAGTCACCCAATAACTTGTTTATAGGGGAAGTTTGCATAGACGTTGTTATGTTGTTTTTTTTGGGGGTGGGGGGGGTGGGTTGCAATGTCCATCGAGCTTCTAGGTTGTTGTATATAGAGTGTCAAGCTATGGATGTATTGACAGGTAAAACTTAGTCACATATTTACAGTTGACACGGAACTTTCTTTTGGGGGGTGGGATTGCGATGTCCATCGAGCTTCCAGGTTGTTGTATATAGAGTATCAAGCTATGAATGTATTGACAGGTAAAACTTAGTCACATATTTACAGTTGACACGGAACTTTCTTATCCCTTCTTTACATGGTAGCCACAGATTTTACAGTTAACTCACAACACCATTATTTCTTTAAAACGTATAACTATTTTATAATTTTTTTTCCAAATGTTATTTTTGTTTATGTATGTCTAGGGGTAAAATATTACTTTAATAACATATCACCTTATTAAAATTTCTGTATGAGGTTACAAAAAAGGGGAATATTTAAAATAAAATTTTTAAAAGTATTTAAAAAAAAAATATTCACAGGTCATGGGTTGAAGTCCCCACGGAAGTTGTTGAGATTTATGCTTTAATGATTTAGATCTTTATCAAAAGGTTTAGTACCTATCAGTTTATATATATTTTTTTAGCCGCGTCATAACGGCCCATAGAATGGCTCCCAGTTTGTTTTTGTTTGTTTTTTTAAGTAAAAATGCCCCCCAGTGGCACAGCGGTATGTCTGCGGACTTACAACGCTAGAATCCAGGTTTCGATACCCGTGGTGGGCAGAGCACAGATAGCCCTTGTGTAGCTTTGTGCATAATTAAAAACAAACAAACAATTAAGTAAAAAC